TTTCTTCTCAATGTAATCAATGTATTCGATGCACATTTGCTTTAAGTTGCCCACGTAAGTACCGCACTCCTCGTCGGACATGGAATGCCATCGCTTGCTGCTTTGGGGGCCGACACTCTCGCAAATCGGAATAGGATGGGGGATTTCGTAAACTCGATAATCATCCTCATCGGTGGGAGTTTTAAGAATGTCAGAAGGCCAGACAGAGTAGCACTTCGCGTTGGGGAGAGAATTTAAGGCAATGTGCTGACCCTGGTGGAGAATTCCGGACCCGGGGGCAAATTGTCCAGGACCCTGCCAGTTGTTGGTTCCTAGAACAAAAATAAGCCACTGTTCGCTCATCCTGAAGCAATGCAATAATGAATTCAGTTGAATAAAAAAAAAAAACTTGTAATACTTGTGGCGTAGTCAACAACAAAAAAAGCAGGTGGGGGAAAAGAGAAACGGATCGAAAAAAAAAAAAGTAGTAACAAATATAGTGTGTATATGTCCGAAGTGGTTAAGATAACTTCGGTAGTTAAAAATAAGTACATATATACATACAAACCAAATTAAACATTTATTTTACTCTAGAGAAACGCAGGTGCTGCACAGATTTTACAAACCTTTAAATATCACTATGGCAATATAGCCCTTATGAAACATGTACATCAAGTGTTTAAGCTCATACGTGATCTCAAACCCGAAACCTTCGCCAATAACGCAATGCCAGCACGGACCGTACTTTTTGTCCATCTGCTCTTTCGCATATTTGGCGGCCTGTTCATAATTGTCTTCATGCTTTTCGAGTGCGTTGACTACAATTTCTCTACATTCGACGCGCATTTCTTCCGACATGTCGCTCATTTTTTCCAGTGGATGACTTATGGAGGCGGTGTAACGGCGAACATACTCTAAGCTGCAAGGGCCCTCAGGCTCTTTAACCTTATTTTCCATCATTTTCTTTGAAAGTTTGTAAGAATACTTAAAATAGAAGAGGTAAAAAATAAAATAAAAAATTAGCTCGCGTCAAGCGGGGCGGACTCCAACAATAATAACGAACCGGGTGAGAAATACAGGGTTTTCATATTTTAATACAGCATGCGACAACGAAACACGGAGAAAAAAAAGAGAGAGAGAGATGTTAGGCGGCAGCCAGCTGGCGTTTTTCTTTTTCGGGAGATTTTTCTTCTTCTTTTTGAACCTCCGGTAAAGCGTGGTTTGGAACTTTAACAGTATCCATATTACTCTCCTCTTTGACCTCTCCCATTTGTTCTCTGAGCTCATTCAGCAATTCATCGTCGTTTTCTACACCGTCAATTGGCATACTGAGAATCGCATCAATTCTCCGTGCCTCCTCCACGGATTCGGCAGTTTCGTCCATTAGTTTTTCTACATCATCAATATTGAGCATTTTGTTCAATTTTTCTAATTCCGACTTGCCATCCTTCATTGCGTTTACCACTTCCGCCTCAATTTGGGCGAATTCGACAGTGGCGATGAGATTTTCAACATTATCCAAAATGCTCGTGACGGAGTCAATCTGGCTGCGCTGCGCCTTTTCTCGTTTCAGGCAGTATAAAGCTTTTCGTTTGTTTCCAGCGCGCATAAATTCTTTTGCCTTCTCGTGCTCCTTTTCCTCCACTCGCTCAAATCTTTTAATGGCTGCCGTCAAATTATCCCGTTGCAACTTTAGTTGGAGTTTTGCCTTGTCGGAAGCTGTAATGGTAGAACGTTCTACTGGCTTCGGCGCTGGTTCCCGGCGGTCATTTTTTTTAGTGTCGCTTTTAGAGCCAGATGACCCCATGACGTTTGTAAAATGAAAACTCTGTGTTGGTGGTGCGGAGAAAAAAGGGAAACTGAAATGAAAAGCGAAAGGCCAGCCAACTCACGTGTCTGTGTGTGTGTGTGTGTGTGTGTTGAACGATCTATATAAATTTGTAGAAATGAAAGCATGAAAAACGGGTTTTAAGGGTGCTGTGGGAAGGAAAGAGGACCTTCTAGACTAGCATCTGTAATCGATGGCGGTGGAGAACGACACCTTTTTCTTTTTCTTGGCCATCCTAATTTTCGACGGCGTCCAAAAGCCTTTTTTATTTCTGTATATTGATTTTGATCTGACTCTATGCTGTTTTGCATTTATAGATGCGCTGATACTACTGTGAATATTCGCCCACAAGGCTACGACGTCATTATACTGATTCATTTGTTCGATATATGAGTGGCGCTCCCTGTTCGACCAATAGGATGGGTTATCCACAGACACGCGCGCAGCTAATAAAAAAAAAAAAAAAACCGCTCGCCCAAAGCCAAGACGGACAAAACTAAAGTAAGGTGAAAAGAGGGTTGCTTGGGGGGGAAGGGTTGTATGTTGCCAGGGCGGCTCCAACAAAAAAATGGCACAATCCCCGCCGGAGAAGAAAACAACAAATTACTTTTAACTGCCATTGTGCACATTGTCAAAAATGTGAGCCGGATTCTTACCCTCCGTCTTGGACTGACGGGCAACCGCTTTGGTAAATACAGAACATCCCTCGTCTGCCGACCTTTTCGTCATCATTTGTGAGCCCGCCTGTGTCCGGACGCGCTCCTCTGGGGGCGCGTGTCGCTTCATCGGTCGCACGCATGCCTCTTTTCCCTCCCCCTGATTTCCCCGGGAACCCGTTGGGGGAGGGGGGGCGCTGGGCCTGCCCCAGAACCAAGGCGGCGGCAGAAACAAAAGCGCCCCCCAACAGACCCTGAAGAAAAACACCGCCAGTTTCCAAACCCCCCAGAACCCCGCCACAGTACAAACGAACAAAAAGCGGGGCCGATCCGCCTCCGGGGCCCACGAACCGTCGCTCCGCACCCCTCTCCAATCGGGGGGCCAAAACCCACGAAACCGCGGGGCGCGCTGCCACCGCACCGAGGGGCCGCCAAACACAAGGATCCCCTTCCCCCCACGCCGAACGGATCCTCACCGCTCCAAAAGGGGCCCCAGGTCGCAAAATAACTTTCGGGCAAAAAAAAGGCACTTCTTACGCCTTAGAGCTTAGCGCTTTCCACCATTTTAACACGGACAGCGTTGGGCGGACCTTCCGCAACACCCACTAACCCACCGTGGGGAGAGGAGTTGGGGTGAACGGAAGGGACGAGGAAGAAACGGGAAACCCCTCTTTTTCTCCTGAAAACAAAACAAAAAAAAGGGGGGGCGGGGGTTCACTCATCCCCCCTTTTTTTAGAGAAATCGGGGGGTAAAACAAATTCAACCCATTTCAAAGCCTCGTCCCGCCCGCCTTCCTCGGGGACCTGGGGAAGCGGCAACCCCAGCCCATCCCTCCACAAAACGGGGAGGAAACCGCAGGACGGAAACCGTCGGCTCAACCAGCTGGCCGCCCGCGGGCCACCTCATAAAAGAGGACACCCCGCCCAGCCAAGCCAAACCCTTTGGCGCCCCGGCCAAAAGAGAGCCGGCGTGTGCGGAGGGGCAACCGCCCCCGAGATGACCCCCCCCCACGGCGCGGCCAATCCCAGCGGAACGGAAAAACAAGCCCGCCCCCCAAGCCCTTAAGGAAGAAAAAGCTGCGCACGTCCCGCCCCCGGCACCAGGCAAATTGTTTCGAGACCCCGCCCCCCGCCATAATCTTTTTTCCTCTTTTCCCAACCACTCGGGCGAACCGACTTTTAAAACGCGGATGCCCCATGTCCGGAAGCCCCCGAACGGACAGAGAAGGAATACCACCGGGGGTAAAGTGAAAACAATCCCCCCTTTCCGCACGTTTCGGAAGGATTTGTTTTAGTAAGTAGACCTTAGTTTTCCCCACAAAGCAAAGAAACTCAGTAAAACGACAACAAAATAGAAAAAAAAGAGGTCCTGTCACCGCAGGTGACTTTTCAGCGGAGCACCGGGGTTGGCGCCACATTCCTTACCCAAGAACAGACACCCGCAGCGCTTCGCCATCAATGCACTCCCCCTTCACAGCTTTCCTCCCTGGTGACGAAAACTCTTGGCCTCTTCTTAAACTTAAAGAGAGATGAAAAGTACGCCAGAAACTAGGAGGTGACCGATACTCCCCCACAATATACAAGAAAGTTTACCAAAACAGTTTTGTCGAATTCAAAACAAACGTCACAAAAACTAAACTCTCGATGTGCGGTTGGCCGATTTACCCCCTGGAGGGAAGAGGGTTGGGACGGTGGAAAAAATGTAAAAAAAGGAAACTAAAACTCCCTTTCTGCGTTTCGAAAAGTAAAATAAAAGAGGAACTTTAAATTTACCAAAATCTTTTTTTTTTTTTTTTTTTTGATAATCCTATATTCTGTTTTTATTTCAAGAAAACCAATAATTGATGTTGAATTTATATTTGTACCATACATCTAAAATTAGCCCACATTACTCTACGTGGGTGGGCGCCTGAATTACTCAACAGTAAAAACAATTGGCTGACGACGCCGGTCACCCCTACGTGGCACCAGGGGCCAGTAAGCTCGAACCCTGAAACGAACCCAAGAAAGCACCTACGGGGCATCGCTGTGACGCACCGCAAGTAGGTAGCACCGTCGGACTGATCGTGGATTTAAGTGAACACTCGACCCGTGGGACACGATGACTTTTAGCACAAGGTGCGGCATGCGGGCCACCGAACCGCAGGGGGTCAAATTGGGCCACACACCCCTTATCCGAACACCTAAGCCCGGCCCCAACAATTGTGCCAAGTCAGAAGTGTTTTTGGCGGGTGGGCCTTCCAGAAATCCCGCAAAACAGCACCAGCTGTGGACGAAACGGCCCCTCATCCCCGACCATATATGGGGTTAGGAAGGGAAGGCTCGCCCGTTAAAAAAAAAAAAAAAAATCCTTCCAGACACAAAAGAGAACGATTACCTAACCTTTTGTCGGTGTTCTTGTTTTCCACCACGCTCATGAAGACTAAAAGGAAAGGCTGGAGGCACACCTAGGGCCGGAAGGCGGCATGCTTAAAAATTCTTTAGGTGCGAACGCAACCGGTTCCCCCTTCGGGGGGAGGCAGAGCGCCTCGCGTTGCGTCCGTCCTGGGGGGGGGCTTGGCGCCGCCTTGCGGGCGGGGGGAAAGAGGGCGCGGGCGCCGTTCCGGCGGCGGGGTGGGTGGCCCTGTGGGTGGGGCGAAAACCCCGGGAGACAAAGGGACGAGAAAAACACAGACCCGCCCCCCAGCGGCGCGGACCCGTACTTGCGGGGCCGGGGTTACCGCCGCCGGTTCTTGAAATCCGGGCGAGCGGTTTCGTCGTTCGTCTCCTGGCCGCCAGCTGGCGCGCTTTCGAAGGACGGAGGGGACTCGCTCTTTTTTTTTCCCTTTTTAGGGCTGCGCGGCGGGGTCGTCGTGGGGCCTCGGGCCCTTTTTTGGGCCGGGCTTAGGCGCTTATTGGCGTTGCGGACGGCGGGCGGCGGCGAAACGACTCCGGTTTAGCGGACCGAAAACTTCAGTGACGGTGTTGGTATTTTATGTTTTGAACGGTGCCTTCGAACTTCGAATGTCTCGGGGATTCGCATTCCGTGGAGGTTGATGGCCAGTTCTGCTCGGGGAATCATAGCTGGTGTCCTCGGGGACCCCATTGGCCACCCCCCGTCCGCGGGGGAAATTTTCTTCTCGAAACGGAGGGCCGAAAGAAACGTCCCTCAGATGCTTCGCGCCGTCCGAATTCCCGGCCGACCGTTGGTTGGACGAAAACAGCTCCCACTTCCGTCTTCCCGTTGACGCCGTCGTGCGCACCACTGTTCACGGCGTTCCGGGTGGCGCGGCGCTTTTGGGACGGGGTAACAAAAGAATAAGTTCACCCCAGCTACCCATAACGTGAAGAGGAAGAGGAAAGTGATTATCGACTTCCTCTTGGAAGGGACTCAAGGAACTCCCACTCATCGCTGCAAATCGGACCAGATTACTTGCGAATCCCAGGTCCACTATTTGGTTCCTCCGTTCAATATTACCCGGGAGGAGGCGAAACGTCGGGGGACACGGTGGGCGGGTCCCTGTTTTTGCCGTGGCTGTTTGTATCTGGAAGCACGCCGGGCTGAAACAAATGTTACCAAGAAAAATCAGAAAAAACTAAGGGAATTTTTGCTGACCAAAAATATAAAAAGGGTTAAAACAAAACGTAATAATAATAATAATAATGAATAAGCCTTATCCTAGATACCTAGTTTGTAGTGGGAGGAGCGGTTGCGTCTCTGGAGGAAAGTATTTTATTGACCAGGGGGACTCACATGTGCTTACCAAGATTCAGATTATTCACTGACGATATGCCGGTCCCGCCCTTCCTGGACCTCCAATGAAGTTCGTAGGGGGTTTGGTTGGGCGGGATTTGTTTTTCCTCGGCGTTATTTAAGATTTAATTATGTATAATTTTACCGAAAAAACAAAACAAAATAAAAAAGAACTTACGAACATAACTTACTAATTTTAAAACTTACCAAAAAAAAAAAAAAAAAAAAAAAATTTTTCTCCTAAACTTTGTTTCTGGATAGAGGGGGGTAGTCTGCTCATTCTCACCATTTCTTCTCTAATCAATATATTTCGCAATTGAGGCAGAGGGAAGAGTATTGGTCCGTCGTGCTTGTTCATCGCGGAGAATATTCTTCCATCCAATCAAAAAAAGAAAACCGGGGTGGTGGAGAAGATCCGGCCCTGGAACCCGCCTCCCTCGACCTGGCTCTGTGCCAGGGGCGGGTTGTTCCTGCGCGAATGGGGTGGGTCCGTTTCGTTGCGGAAAGGGATCGGCTCGCTGTCCGCCGCCGCCTGATTTGTTTTTTCCACACCTGAAAAGAGGAAAGGCCCGGCCCAAACTCTCCATGTGGAAAGCTGGGGCCGGGCCAAAAGCATAACGACCCGGCTCGAACTCTCGCTGGGAGAGCTGGAGCCGGGTCGCTGCGACACACCACTTTGTCTGAGAGTGTCAACCTCGTTGTTTTGTTGCTCGGGAACGCGACGTTTCGTGCCCTTGGGTCCTCCGCTTCAAGACGGCAGGGTGGTACGTTGGGTCATGGCGGGCCGCCCGTGCCATTCCTTGCGCGTTGCGTCTCTTTTTGGTGATGGCCAGATGAAAGGAAGTCAGTTGCTTCCCCAACTGCCAAGACACCGGTTTCGCAAAAATAAGGGGCTCCACCGACTCCCTCTGCATCGCGGGGTGAGCACTTTCCGTTAGGGCAGGGTCCGGACGTTGTGTCTCGTGCGGTGGGAGGTGAAATTTCGTCCCCGTGGTTGGTGTTCTGGGCGGCCGGACTTCAACGGACACCATTCCTGCCATAGAGAACCGCCCTTCTTCGTAGAGATGTTCTGTCCTGTCATCACCCAGGCTGTTTTGTGTGATTCTACGGACATTTCGTTGGTTTTGCCATCTATTTTTCTGGGTTCGCCGCTTCCGGCTGGAGGACCGCACCCGTTACCCAAGTGCTCTTTGCCGAGTCCTGCGGGAACATTTTTCACGCGGAAAAATGGTGGGGTTGTGGTTTTGCCTGTGGGACAGAAGGTACTACTTTTTTTTGTTTGTCCGGGACCACTTTGTTGAAGTGAACCCTGCTCGGAGGAAAATGCGTTTACGCACGTTGTGAGGGACTCTGTTTCCAACTACCCCCTAAAAACCCCCGTTTTACCTATGTTTCTGTCGACCCGTGGCGATGGTCCGTGTCAGGTGATGAAGATTAAGTCTCACACCCCGGCGGCCGCAGTCAAATGTCGGTGTCGTTGGTCCTGAGCATTTGACTGTGCTTGCCTTTTTAAACCTCCGTGAGTGACATATGGCCGTTATAAACACCCGCAGGTCCGGACAACTTTTGTTTTGGCCCGTTGTTCGAACCAAAACTACCACCATCATGTTGGAGTGTTCGGCAACACTCGTACCGCCGTGCGCACTCTGCAGTAGTGCGACGGCGATTCAGTGGTTTTAAGTAGCCGAAGACGGCGACTGCTACTTACTTCCAACCTGGATAATATCTTTTTATTGTGTAAATCATGAAACCCAACAACAACACCCAACACTTTGAAACACTACAGCACACACCATACAATAGTCTTCCGCCCCATGCGCTGACCATAACACCTTCCAGTCATGGCGAAGATTCGCACCGCCCACTCAGGTGAACTCACCGACTTTCACGGTGGTTCATCGCCGCTCAGAAACTAACAACATTGTCGAGCAACTTCGACCCCACAAAAACAGCGATAAAATCACGCAGTCTCCACAATCTGCACATACCCTATTACCTCACAAACACAGCAGCTAACCGCGTCCCCACCCTCCCATCTCACCACTACAGCTAAAATTGTGCAACTGCAGGATACTTACTTCCCCACCATGCGGCGGGTGCCGCACAGAAACCACAACCCGAGTCTGCTCGTCTGTACTCACATTGGATACAGGATCCCGTCCTCTTTCGGAGAAACGGGGGCGTCTCTGTAGCCAAAGGAGGCGTTACCGTCAGAGCACAGACACCGGGCTGCAGCGCAGGCGATCCTCCGCACCGCGTGGGTCTCGTAGTCCTGGCAAAAAGCCTATGGAGCGCCTTTTGCGCTGTAGTGTGGTCGGGTGTTTTTTTTTGGGATGCGGTGGCTCGTGTACTCCTCCTCTCCCAGCAAGCTCCCTCGCACATTCACCGGTCAGTTGGTCCCGCATAGAAACCACAACGACGTCTGCCCGTCTCGGCGCAGACACGCGGTTGTGGCCCTGGCGATCCTCCCTCCTCTCGGGTCATGTACTCGGACGTTCGCTGGACGGTTGGTGCCGAACCAACACACCGCGTCCCCACCCTCCCATCTCACCACTACAGCTAAAATTGTGCAACTGCAGGATACTTACTTCCCCACCATGCGGCGGGTGCCGCACAGAAACCACAACCCGAGTCTGCTCGTCTGTACTCACATTGGATACAGGATCCCGTCCTCTTTCGGAGAAACGGGGGCGTCTCTGTAGCCAAAGGAGGCGTTACCGTCAGAGCACAGACACCGGGCTGCAGCGCAGGCGATCCTCCGCACCGCGTGGGTCTCGTAGTCCTGGCAAAAAGCCTATGGAGCGCCTTTTGCGCTGTAGTGTGGTCGGGTGTTTTTTTGGGATGCGGTGGCTCGTGTACTCCTCCTCTTCCAGCAAGCTCCCTCGCACATTCACCGGTCAGTTGGTCCCGCATAGAAACCACAACGACGTCTGCCCGTCTCGGCGCAGACACGCGGTTGTGGCCCTGGCGATCCTCCCTCCTCTCGGGTCATGTACTCGGACGTTCGCTGGACGGTTGGTGCCGAACCAACACACCGCGTCCCCACCCTCCCATCTCACCACTACAGCTAAAATTGTGCAACTTGCAGGATACTCTACTTCCCCACCATGCGGCGGGTGCCGCACAGAAACCACAACCCGAGTCTGCTCGTCTGTACTCACATTGGATACAGGATCCCGTCCTCTTTCGGAGAAACGGGGGCGTCTCTGTAACCAAAGGAGGCGTTACCGTCAGAGCACAGACACCGGGCTGCAGCGCAGGCGATCCTCCGCACCGCGTGGGTCTCGTAGTCCTGGCAAAAAGCCTATGGAGCGCCTTTTGCGCTGTAGTGTGGTCGGGTGTTTTTTTTGGGATGCGGTGGCTCGTGTACTCCTCCTCTTCCAGCAAGCTCCCTCGCACATTCACCGGTCAGTTGGTCCCGCATAGAAACCACAACGACGTCTGCCCGTCTCGGCGCAGACACGCGGTTGTGGCCCTGGCGATCCTCCCTCCTCTCGGGTCATGTACTCGGACGTTCGCTGGACGGTTGGTGCCGAACCAACACACCGCGTCCCCACCCTCCCATCTCACCACTACAGCTAAAATTGTGCACTTGCAGGATACCTACTTCCCCACCATGCGGCGGGTGCCGCACAGAAACCACAACCCGAGTCTGCTCGTCTGTACTCACATTGGATACAGGATCCCGTCCTCTTTCGGAGAAACGGGGGCGTCTCTGTAACCAAAGGAGGCGTTACCGTCAGAGCACAGACACCGGGCTGCAGCGCAGGCGATCCTCCGCACCGCGTGGGTCTCGTAGTCCTGGCAAAAAGCCTATGGAGCGCCTTTTGCGCTGTAGTGTGGTCGGGTGTTTTTTTTGGGATGCGGTGGCTCGTGTACTCCTCCTC